TAAACGGAAAGACCAGCTATATATCAAAATACATACATGTTTTTTTTGTAAATAAGGAGATGTCTATCTATGGGTGGGGAATTTTACGAAATTTCGGCCAAAATAGGGGAATTTCATTGTCGAAATCGGGGAATTATCAAAAATTAGGCATATGCTATTGCATGTTCATATTCGCTGCATTTTTAAATTCACAACAATAAAATGAACATGGTTGCCATGGCAGCAAGCAAAAAATTTGCAAATGCAATTCCAACTGCAAATCCTAGACAATTTCCACAACATCCTAAACAGCCCTAATATTTTAAAGTGTATACTCATATATATAGGGTAAATCTAGGCGAATTCACATAATTTGTTGTTACTTGAGCAGCTGGATTTCCGCCTCGTTGGTTCTTAAAGTCAAAATTATGTATGTATTTGTTATAGATCTTACTGTTATTATGCGTGAAATTTGTTAGTGTAATTTTATATGAATTCGCCTCTTTTACATAAATTAAGTAACTAATATTGTTTCTTTCAACAGAAAAAAAAATCTACCAACTTTATGTAAATTGTATTTTTTTTTATAAAATAGCAAAATATATATTTCGCGCCAATAAAACATTAAACATGAAACATATACATAAAACTCGGACGAATCACGCCATGCATGATTGAATGAAACTCGATTCGAAACGAATGAAATAAAATGACAGTTCCCTTCTCCAAAATACTTTTTAAATTGAAAAAGCGAACTCACTACCAAATGCGGTACTTAATCTTAAAAATATTTTCGCTTAGGATTCGATTTAAATCTCTTTGTTTCCTTTCCGGAAAGTATTGGTACATTTTTAGCCCTTGCTGGTAAAAATGTTAGAAAATAAAATACAGCTAAAAAGTTGGTATATCTACCAATAAAGTGATAAAGTCCATGCACTGGGTGGAAGTGATAACATAGACATTGAGCAACGGGCCCTAATATTTACTCACTCCTAGCGAGTCAGTGAAATCGTTAGCGGTAGCAGCACGGGTAATACCTAATCGCTAACGAATTGCCTAATGACCATTACTGCAGCCAAGGCAACTGTCTAAATGAGCAATAATAAAGTACAAAGAAATCATGATTTAACCATCTTAGTTAAACGCAGTATTGTATCAACAATGTATACATTTAAGTACATACATACATACATACATATGTATGTAGAAAAAAATTTCAGTCCACTTCGGTGGTCATAAATTGTCGTGCACATCTGAACATTTAATTAAGTTTTTACGTTATTTACAGCCGCACTGACATATGTTGGTGCAAATATCAATCCAGGAATTTTATTGTTAAAAAATAAAAATTCAAAAAAAAAATCGATCGGGCTCAACCGGGATTTGAACCCGGGACCTCTCGCACCCAAAGCGAGAATCATACCCCTAGACCATTGAGCCGCATGCGAACTGCCTGTCTAATGTCAGTTTTGTTAACATTGTATACTCTTCGTCACCCTGCATTTTGATATCACTAAAAAACTTTTTGGCTCTTTGGTCACCCTGTTGTTTAGCATGGTATTTAACCCGAATTGCAAAGCTGTGAATTGGGAAATGTAAGCAAACAGCATTCAACGTTTTTCAATAAAAATTGGGGTGTTAAGTTAGTTCGTAGGTTATTAGTTTAACACTAGAAATTTAAAGTGAAATTAATAAAACAAAAATTTTATAAGCATTTGAAAGTTACAACGAAGTAAATTGGAATAATAATACTTATAATGGTTTGTATATACATACATACACATGTATGTATGCATGTGAGAATGTTCGTTTATGCATTTGTCATTTCACGAAATCATTTCATGAAAAGTAGCTAAAAATGCCAAATGTACAAAAACAATTACGTGTATTTCCACTATACATTTAAGTTTTTTGAATCATTTAAACAATTAAAATATGTATAAACTAAGTGAAACTGTTACAAATGGTAGCACAAAAAAACTTGCATTTGCACATACATGCATAAGCTCACATTTGGATAAGCTTTCAAAATTAAAACAAAAATAGCGCAAATTCTACCAACAGAAAAATAAATATCATGTCAAGAAAGAGTGACTACACACAGATATTAAATTCAAAACTTTCGATCAGAAATCGAACAGAAAGTATTAAATCAGTCTTTAAAAAAAAAATTAAAACACAAAATTATGAATATAAAAAAAATCAGTCGGGCTCAACCGGGATTTGAACCCGGGACCTCTCGCACCCAAAGCGAGAATCATACCCCTAGACCATTGAGCCACATAACGGACAGCTGCCAAAACGCAGTTTTGTGCCGTAAGTAAATTTTTAAACAATTTGCTAAAATGTTTTTGTTTTTTATTTGTTACACAGCAGTATATAATAAAAATTTAAAAAAAAAATCGTATCTTTATTTGTTATATATGTGCATATGCACATAAATACATACCTACATATAAAAGCAAACTAGTCAGTTGTGCTATTCCGTACGCCTTCATCTTGTTTTAGCATGGCACAGTGTGAAATGTTGCATAGTTTTAGGCGAATGTCCAACATAAAATTGTCGATATGGCAGTATTAAGTTATACTGCTTGATTGTGATTAAAATCTACGTTAATAATCTATATACACACACACATCCATACATATGTACGTACAGTGTTCCACATATCATTTTCGACTAAACTTAAAATGATATAGTTTGCTACTTGCGCATGTTCATTCATTTCACTGGTTTACAGCAAAAATATTCAAAGGCCCTTAATATGAAATACGGCAAATGAAAGCTAACAAAATTATATATAGACCGTATATATTTACATACATCACTTTTCGAAAGGTCTGAGTTTCTGACAAAGTAATTAATCATTCCAGATTTTTTGTTTTTCTTTTATGAAAATATGAAAAAAAAAACACTTCACCAGAAGAAAAATTAAGAAAATAACAGGTTCTGTGTAAAATTTTTGCCTTTGTGCTAAAGCCTGTTCTTTTACAAAAAACTAAGTTACTAATGACGAAAATCAATGGATGAGTAAAGAAGTAATGAGCGGTCAAATGAAAATGCACAAAGATTTTTTGTATGAAATATGAGCATAAAAGCGTGCTACTAAGGTGTACATGGCGTATGAGTAACAATATTTTCTGCTCATTTCTCATTGTACTCCGAAAATTCTTTCTCGTATAATACACTTACATACATACATGCTTAGCTAGAACGGTATGATTTTTCGAAAAGGTGGCAAGCCTGATCAAAGATATTTTTAAACTAAATAAATCCCTTTCGCATATTTTAATATTTCTTAAAACTTGCGTATAAATTAATTTAAGTAATTCGACTACTGGTGTAAATCCTTTTCAAAAGTATTTTCAAACAAATCTTCTTAAATATATTTTCCGCCCAATTCTGTGTTTTCTTGATAAATTTTTTGTAAAGAAATTGTATCAAGTAAATGCTCCCTTCGCATTCTGTGTCAATATTTATAAAACAAAAAGCTCTACGATTTTCACATGAGNGCTTACTAGAACGGTATGATTTTTCGAAAAGGTGGCAAGCCTGATCAAAGATATTTTTAAATAAATCCCTTTCGCATATTTTAATATTTCTTAAAACTTGCGTATAAATTAATTTAAGTAATTCGACTACTAAAACAGGTGTAAATCCTTTTCAAAAGTATTTTCAAACAAATCTTCTTAAATATATTTTGTCTAACATTGTGATACATATGTATTTCAATTCACTGATAAATTAAGTTGAATTTGATTTTTTTAAACGCGTGGCAACCCATTGAAAACTTGTTAATAAGTCATCCAACTTATTAAATAATTTGAATGCCACTTTTTGAACACGTGGCAACCCTATGCAAACATTCTAAATGTCTAACCTAAAGATTTCTGAACGTTGTTTCGCTTTCGAGTTAATTAAACTCGAATTTTTAAAAAGGTGGCAATCTTCTTCAAAAGTAGTAGCTAAAACCTACTTCAACAACCTTTGTCTGAAAATGTGGTACGCATTTTAATTAACTATTGAATTAAGTTGAATTTGATTTTTTGAAAGCCTTGTCAAACCCATATTTCTATTACCTAATTCCCTTAATTCAAATTCGATTTAATTTTTTTTAAAGGTGGCAACCCTCATTCAGTTAAGTTATGGAACTGATTCTCGCTTTGGGGGGGAGAGGTCCCGGGTTCAAATCCCGGTTGAGCCCAAGGTGATATTTTTGTCAGAAAGAAACAGAAAATAAATCAAATGCAAAAATGAACAATGCTCTTAAGTTGCGATATTTATTGGGTTTCAATAACGCCAAAATCTATGTAGTACTGGTGCAGTATATTCAGCCTTCATTTCAAAAGTAAACACAACCACTTTGCGCTTTCGCTAATAAGCTTTATTTAATACTCAAATTTAAACAAAAGCTTACAAATACTAAACTTTTGGATTTTAAAAATACAAAAGTAGTTAAGCTTAAATTACAAATTAAATGCAGTAAAATTACATATAAACACGCATATTTGATGAGAAGAAGGGGGAGGGGGTTTCGTACATCTAATATGTACATACATATGTATGTATGTATGTAAGAATATTAATGCTTGTAATTGACCGCGATGGAAGACATATTGATTACTTTGCTACGTAACTATGTACAAATGCACTAAAAATAATACTAAATTATAACTGTAACAACTTGTAATGCTAGAATACATAATACTTTAAATGCTAAATAGTCTAAGAATTTTTTTCTTCAATAAAAAATCTATGAACTGCATACTAAAATATAAAATACTCAAATTATAATTTACAGTATCCTACATATGTAAGTATTCAAATTAGTGGCAGTTTTTCTACGCTTTTAAAATACAGCGTATGTATAGTGGAATATATTGGTTAACTGCACCTCAGAAAATTGCACCAAATTCAGCATTTCTTTGTTTAATTAAATTATAAGATTATTATTAAAAAATAAAATACAAGATTTATATTTCACAATTTTGTATCATCAAAATTAAAATACATTTTTTTTTTTTAGATAACCCTCATAGCCCAAAATTATGTATTTTTTTCACATCTGCTCCATGCCATAATCCTAAAAATCATACATATATCTGTAGCTCCTCATGCCTTCAATTGAAAATATCATCGACCAACTCTTTTGTAATGATGCGATGTGGTCGTGTCGGATTCACCTTGGGGCGCTGGTAGAGTCGTGCGTTGATGGCGTACAGACGCGGCGATAGATCGCAACGTACATTGAACCACCAATCGCATACGAAAACTGCCTGCGAAAATTGTGTGCCATTCGGGCAGAGGAAAGACGCTTGTCGACCATCGATGTCGCAGTAATGCCAACCTGTCATAAAAAAGAACAATGAAAAAACAAACAAATTACAAAATAT